GCAGAACCACTGGGCAGCCCTGACTTTAAATAATTCCTTCCCATTCTGCTCCTCCCCAAGAGTGACCTGCTCTGAAATTTCCTGAAAACCCTCTTCCAAGTTTAAATTTACTCTTCACCCATGAAGGCTTCCTCACGAAGTAAAACTTCTTTTCACTAGCTCTTAGACTGAGTAAGATGTCCTTTATGTTCTTCCCAACTGAAAGTTCATTAGTAAACCAATCTATAGTGAGTAACGAATCATAATCAACTTGTTCTTGAAACCTCCACAGCACTGCAGAGAGGTTGGCTTGCAGTGTCCCAGGTGGATGCTGCTCATCCCCTGGTAGTGCTCAGCCTCCTGTCGCCTGGCAATCAGCTGGCCTGAGGAAATAGCAAGATGCCTTTGTGTAAATGTAGTAACCTACTTAAAGGTGAGGAAAGAAAAGAAAGAGAAAACAAAAGGAACAAGAAGCTATTCCAGAAACCCACACATGCATAACTCAAGGGGGCCTGGAATATGGGTGCCATTTTTTACCACACACTCTCTTCCCTGAAGATGGGCACATCCAAAAGAATTCAGTCAGGATCAGACAACTAACTGTACCACATTAACTCACTGTGATTCTACAATGCTACACCCCTAGGGGACAGTCCCAGGTTTGCACTCCGAGATTTCACTGTGAGTGCCAGGCATGTGAGCAGGTGTCCATAATCTGGACAGTCTAAGAATGGGGGTGGATCATGGCATGACAACACTGTTAGGGGCGCCCCTTCCTTCTCTCCTTCCTTTCTCTCATTCTCTCTCTTTCAGAGAAAATTAAAAAATAAAATAAAAATAAAAAAGAAGTCTGTCAACATTTTTCTGTTCCTCATCAGCTTCCTCAGAGGAATTGAAGATTTAGACTACTTAGCTCCAAAATAATGCTAATGGGCTCCTTTTCCTTAGGCTCTGATGACCCTGATACTCCTTCATCTTATAAAGCTGACATATTTATCTCAAAAGAAAATAATTTCTATTCAGTACGATAAACACAGAGAAATGGTAACAATATGCTTGTATTAAGAAAAGCCATATTATCGGGACCAGAAGTTGGCGTAATGGCTATGTGACTGGATTCCCATGTAGTCGACCGCAGTTTGAGTCCCGGACCTGGTGGCTTAAACTCACGCTGGGCACATGTGCGTGCGTGCCCAAGATCCTGAGAGAAAAATGGAGGAGAAGGGATTGCAGCATGGTCATCCCTCCGGGGGGGGTGGGGAGGGAATTCTCCCTTTCGGTCTGTCTGTCTCTCTCTGTCTTCCTGGCGAGCACACACACCCTATAGCAAAAACCTCTCAAAAAAAAAAAAAAAAAAAAAAAAAAAGACATATTATAAAGTGAGACAACAGAATCATCACTCTCCACCTCAAACTCTTGGTCTATCCCCAGAAATGCCAGTCTCCACAAAGGTCTCTGTTTCTTCTCCTACAGTAGCTTTGATTCAAACATCCGGGCTAATGGTAAATAAAACCACATCTTTTTCGATTTCATTGTGTTTTTTGTCTAATTACTGTTAAAAGGTGTACATAATCATTTTCCTTCTATTTTATTTTCCTCGCAAATACAAGCTAAGTTAACTATAAAACTGACTTAAAAGGTTTTCTAGAACTGACCTGGCACCTAAACTATCCCAGAGCACCATCACATCACTGAGTAGGTTTTAGCAATTTGACAACCTTTAGAATCAGTTCATGTGTATTTGGAATACAACCCCTGCCTGTATTTTAGGAAGGAAACATTGTGCTGGGAATACCAAACAAGCACAAGCCAGGGACCATGGAGACAGACAGTGCAGGAATGTCGTGAAACGCGCTAGAACTTAGAGTCAGTCGAAGGCATTCTAGGACATCAGTTTTCTGGGAGTTTCAACACAAAGTCACTTGTTTTATTTTCAAGTTATTTCTTATTTATTCCATTGAACAAAAGATGGAAACAAAAAGAGAAAGAGAAAGGCAGAAGACAGACACAGCATCCCCAACAGGGTCTTGACCTACCCATGATCTGGAGTACATACGTGCCCAATGTGTGAAATGACGTCTCCAGACACAAATCACAAACCTTCCCATGCAGGTCAGCCATGTGGAGATTTCACTACTGCACCATTTTCCAATCCTCCCACCCCCAATTTATTCTTAATGGAAGACAGTTTACCAGCTGAATCATCTTAGAAAATCAGAAAAATTATTTAAAATCACAGTAGAAAAATATGCCTATATAACAAGCCAGTTTTTAAGCCTCACTCTGCAAAAAAAGTGGAGCATACCCAGTCAAATTTAAGGCCTCAGATTCTACAAACAAAAATGTAGCCAATTAATACGTCTCAAGGGGCAGATTTTTCTTGACCATGGAAGTCAGAAAAATTCCCCCCAGAACGGCTCTGAATGGCAGATGTTTTCTGTGAGAGGACAGCTGAGCTAAGGGAGGCCTGTGGTCATTTTATGTCAACAGCTCAAATAAGTTATTTCCTCTCACTTTTCTTTCTTGCCTTTTTTTTTTTTTTTTTTTTTTTTTTCAACAACT